GGGATTTTAATAACAGGTAACTATTGAAGTGGCCTCTCCCACCCAGCTGCTGTGTATCCTGAAACCAAGTGGAATGAGACATCTTGACATTTACTCTGACAGGACAATATTCACCACCTCTTAGGAACAATACAGACAAGACTGATTTCCCAGAGTTTACAGTGCACACCTCTGTTAAAATATACTTCCTTCCAGTGAATCACAGAAGACTGCTTGTGTCAAGGAGCTGCACCTGAACTCTCTTCTAAGGATGCTGTTAGTGGTCTAAAGTGCACAAGTGGCATCTCCAGATGACAAGGACCAAACTCAAGGTCACACAAAATAGAATCACTTTCAGACTATACACATTAGCTTTTTAAGACAATGGTTTGATGGTTTTCATTGGCAACTTGAGAACAGCTGTGTAGAATGCTAGTACAAGTACAGCTTTACACAAGTCCACGCACCCCAGAAAGGAGACAGAATTGAGCATTAAGAAAGATACTCCAAACACTTCTACCTCAAAAAAAAAAAAGTATAAAATTAAAAAAAAAAAGAAAAGAAAAAGAAAAAGGAAAGAGACACTTCATCCCTATACAGCACTGAGCTTGAAAAGTTAAAAAAGGGTAGCTCGAGGCCCTTGGTAGACCACTGCCTCAGACATCCCACCACTGGCAGAACACTTAAGTGCATGTGTACAGGCAAGAACAACAAGTATTCCACATGTTAGGTTTTTTTTTTTCAATTTCTCTCACATATCTACAGTATGTTTTAAAGTCTTAAAATAAATTCCACATTCACATGTAATGAAATTAATATTGTGAATCTGCAGTCATACCGCAACGTCCGAATAAAGTGAGATATATTCCCTCAAGGGTCTGTCTTTATCTTCCCATTCTCATATTAAGACATTTTCAACAGATTTAATACCAAAAAGTAAATTACTAGGAAATAAATCAAGGATATTTTGAAAAACCACCTGGAGACATACAGATAGACACACACAGGAATCTAAGAGCCCACAAATGAAGCAGGACTGCTACCACATGGGTCTTGCCAAATCTGAGCAGAAGGCATTCCAACCATCATGGCTCCTGCCAAGGACATGGGGGGATCCTGAAATGATGGTACTGATTCCCCTGCAAAGGGCAAGCTTCTCTACTGTGTGAAATGAAGGGCTCAGAGTGCTGGAGTAAAATCAGATACCTGCTCCCAGCAGCCCGGCCCTTAGTCATCTCAGCTCACCTGCTTCCAGGGAGTGTAAAGCAGTGGGGGATTAGGAAGGTCAGGGAGGGATAACCAGCAACGCTATACACTCAGAGATTCCACTGCTAGTAATCTCAGACCATCCAGTGGTACTGGGCTGCTGCATGCGGACGTTGTTGGCGATTGGTCGGTGGCCTGAACTGTGAAAGTCAACCCTTCAGTCCCTGTTTGGACATCCAGGAGTGAAGAGTAGAGCTCACTTTCCAAGAAAATGCAAATATTGTCATACCAGGGGTTCTGCCACTGACAATTTGGTATGTGCTTATATAAATACATTAAGGCATACACAAAAGCTTTGCATGACTTTGGTAATCACACACTACTACATGAAACGTTTCCCTTTCTTGAAATAGTTGATCAACATACAAATCTACAAACGGAAAAAAAGTCAAGTTTTTAAAATGCATACCTGATTGTGTCTTCACAATTACACTCATACGACGGCGCACAGAATCAAAGTTTAAGGTGTGAAGAAGTTCGTATCTTTAAGAGAAGAAAAATGAGAAAAGTAAAATACCTAGACCACAATGGGAAGAAATAAAACACAGCAGAAACATCTTAAGATATTCAAACAGCTTAAATTAACAGGGCTCTCATCTTCGGTAAGGGCTGCTGGCTGTGTGAACAACAGGTGCTTTCCGTTGTGTCCTTGGAGTTTTCTTGCACTTTTTTGCATGCTGTGGGGCTACTGGTGTTGCTTGAGGCGCATCTATATCCTCTCATTATAATGACCATGTAGGAATGAGGGACAAAGAGCTGTCCTGCCAGGCCATGTCTGGAGGGGATCTAGAAATAGTCCCACCCTGCCAATTATTTCAGTCATCTCTGGAGTGCCTACTATGTGCCAGGCACAGTGATAGGTGCTGGAGAATAGACATGAGTCTGCCCAAGGCCCTTTCCTTAAGAGGTTCATCATGTGATAAGGGAGGCAGAGGGTAATGGGGTGACAACCTCCTAGTCTTCCAAATACTGTAACAAAGGAACACACAGGGGAGACATGGGAGCACAGGAGGAAGACATCTGAAGGAAGGCTTCCTGGAAGAGGTTGTACCTGAGCTGTGTTTTGCAAGAGTGATGCCACTAAGAAAGGGAATCACGGCATTCTGAGTGTAAAGAGCACGTGCAAAGCACAGCAACATGAGGGCACGCGGGAGGGCTTACAGTAGTTCATGTAAGGCTTGAAATCTAGCTGATAGGGGAGTAGCAAGAGAGGTAAGCAGGGGCTGGAATCTGAGAACACTGTGGGCCATTTCAGAGGTTTGGGATTTTATCCTAAGGGAACAGGAATCCACTGAAGGGTATGAATAGTGGATGACATGATCAGATTTGTGTGTGAATAGGTGAGCCATTAATCAGATGAAAGGATGTAGAAGAGGAAAAATAAGAGTTACTAGGAAAAAAAAGTGAGGAAATATTTTCTTGAAAATAAATAACTTGGATACAAGCACTTGACCTAAAAATATTCACCACAAAGCTTGTCTTTGACGGGAGCGAGCAGATCACTGGTTTTGGGATGTGTCTATATAAGGCATATACATGTAGTACCTCATTCGCTGTTGGCCAGGTGGGGGAACTGGCCGGAATCTGGACTCTGATAATGACCCTGGGCTCCTGGCAATCAGGCCAGAGATCCTTCCTCTAGCTTTTGAATATTCCTTCCCCAAAGGGCCTATCTCCTAAGCAATCCACATGTGTTACAGGTTTCTGAGATGGGTCTCATGACATGCTAGGGGTCAGAATGGAAGTCAGATAAGATGACTACACTTCAAGTTCAGATGAAGGAATTCAAATTAATTAGAGAGTCTAAAATCCATTATTAAGCCAAGGTGGCTCTATTTCTTTGGGTTGCTATAGCTCCCCCAAAATAAGAAGAAAAAGGAAATGGAGGGACTGCTGCATAGAGTACTTGCCCTGAGGCTCACACCTGAGCAGCTAGAGAAAGCAAAGCTTCTGACACAAAAGCTGCCGTGACTGGCAGTGCTTGTCATCCCAGAATGACTGGCTGGGTTCTGGACAGCAGGAGGTTTCACGCATGCTCACTGACTTTTCTTGTAGTGTGCACTGGAGACCTGAAAGGGCATCTAAAACTCCGAAAGAAAGTCCAGGCAGACTCTCATTCAGTTTCCTGGACCCATATGTGAACAACATTGGAAGCGTTTCCACCGCAAACGCTAGTTTCTGCCACTCTATGAACCATGTCCTCTCCTACTGCAACTACATAAAATTTACATAAAACTCCGATCTGGGAGAGCAGAGCCCTACACTTACAGATGCAAACAGTTTCCTCTGCTGCCCTTCCTAAATCCATCTAAGGTTGACTGTGAGGTTAAGAAGTGACAAACATGAAACATACAGTGCTACTTACTCTTCTATTTCTTTTCTTTGGTTCTCTACTCTCATACAGCCATTCCGAATTCCTACAAATGTGAACCCATACCTGTCAAAAACAATAAAACAAGACCTTTGTGTATCTCTGAAGAATGGTTAATTTCCCCTTGCAGGGGGTTATTCGTATTTGTTTATTGCTTTCTTCTCTTCCGTAAGATCTCAGTCTATAACTGTACTTCTTTTTACTCATTGAGATGATAACACACAGCAAGTCAATGCACAGTCACAAACTGTAGCCAAAAAAGAGGCGATTTGTAATTCCAGCTCTGCAGCTAACACATGGGGTGACACTTTAGTCACTATTCTCCTTTGGCCTCATGGATACAATGGGACCCTCAGTTACCAAATGATGTCAAAATTGCTGGAAGCACTTCAGAAATAACGTGTGTTGTACGAAAAGTGATTTCCAAAATAAAATATGAACATTTGGACTTCTGGCTGAAATGCAGAAATAGTAATGCAAGTTACATCTATCCACTGCTATTTTCTTTTTGGTCTTAATTGGTTAGGTTTGGGAATTTTTTCAAAAGTTCAGATAAAGCAGTTTGGCTCCTGATTCAAGAATAAAGATACTTACAAGGTTATTGAAGCAAACAGAGAAAAAACAAAACTGCTGTCCTCCTGTGATTTCACTTTCTCAAGAGAAGAACAAATGTTTAATTCTTTTTGCTCTTCAAAAATGCTAATGTATTTATCTACAACTTATTTCCAGGATTTAAAATAGCATTACAGAGGTATAACTGATGGAGAACTGCAAGTATTTCCTGTGTGCAATTTGATGAGTTTAGAACATGCAAATAACTGTGATATCACCACAATCAAGGTAAGAGACGTATCCCAACATTTCTCAGTTTCCTTGTGTCCCTTGGATTTTTGTTGTTGTTGTTTGTGGTAAGAACACATGAGATTTACTCTCTTAATTAAGAAATTTGGAAGTGCAAAATACCTTATTACTAACTATAGGCAGAACATTGTACCTTTTGAAATTATTCATCTAGCATAATGTATATGCTTACTTTTTAGCTCCTTTGACCAAAGCTATTTCATCTGGTGAAGAAGACATGTAGGTTAATTCAGCTGATTCTGGAGCTCCATCAACAGCATCATTTGTTTTAATTTCTACAGTATGGCATAAACACAAGGCACGCAGAAAGAGCTCTTCTCGATTCTGTTGGACAGTAACAGAAAGATGACTATGCTATTTTCACTTTGATCACTTGCTAACTAGTCAATGAACAGAGAAAAGATATTAATGTGAGAGAATGCTATGACCTCTAGCAAACTGAGTAGCAGAAATTTATAAATTCCTAATACTCAAATGAGTCATATATCCTCCCAGCACCTAACAACATTCCTAGTTCTCAGGTAACACACCCAAGGGGCTACATGAACTCATTCAGGTTACTGTGTTGCTGCCTAATACCAAAGCAGTGACTTCTCTGTGGCTTCAGAGAGTTCACTCAGTATCTAATTCACAACCTGGCAATAGCTCAGGTGCAGGGAGATTCTGGTTCATTTAATGCTTAGACACTCCTGGGACTTGAATGATTTCAATAGATATCATTCTTGGAGCAGCTCATATTTTTAAAGACAAAGCACAAAAAATCATGCTCACACAGTCAAGTGAAACTTTTACCCAACTGCCATTTCTCACAACTCTCTCTACTTATAATTCTACTTGTTTACAAGTTCCAGAGGTGTACATAAAACAAGAAAGATGAAGTCAAAAAACAAGCGGTTATTCAAAAGTCTGCATCATGCACCCAAATTCTTGATTTCTACTATGTTAACTATGTAACTTGCATTACATTACATATGCCCATATAAATTGATTTCTCAAGGTAAAATGGTATAACACAGAAAATGCCACCTTATCTGCTTTGTCAAAATATGGTAAGGGTCCATCAGTTTGAGAGAGTCCATCAGTCTCCTGAGTTACACCTTTATATTTATGCCCATCTATGCAGCATTCAATGAATTCCATGCTGTTTTCTGTGAGTGTTCCAGTCTTATCAGTAAATACATAATCTACCTAAAAACAAGAACACAAACATAAACATTTTTACTTTCTTCAGTGTGATTAATTTTTGGTTAGCTATAAAGCAGGGCTATTTTCATACCCATAGAAAATCACCTTTTCTAAAGACCTGTCAAATGTCTGGTAATTTCAGAAGCAATATTATCAAATGAATGAGAAATGAACAAGTATTTTTAAATATGCTGAAATATTATCACATGTCTAAGGTAGACCTACTCAAATTATGAGATTAACAGGAAGGAAAAGTGTGGCTATTTTAGCAAACTAAGAACCCTTCAATTTAACACCTACTATTTTGATGCAAAGAAATTAACATAAGTAAAGTCAATTTCCCAAGCAGGAAACAATTTACTGGCCACTTAAATCTCTCTCTCTGTCTTTCTCTCTCTCTCTCTCACACACACACACACACACATACACACACTCACACAGAAAATATGTTTGACAGGAACTGAATTTAACTGGACTGTAACAAAACTTTTCCTTGAAAAGTAAAATTTTCTATAAATATACTGAATTGAAGTAAAATGCATGTGTCCTATAATGTATTTCAGTGCTACAGAATATAAACAAACAAGGGAAATAATAATGTTAACAGTTACTTAATTAGGAGACACAGTAAGTCAACAATAATCAAAAACATAAATGAAACTTATTTCTGCATACTATGTATATTTTCAGATACTCCTCAAAAAAGTCTCCAAATTAAAAAAAGACAGAGTTTATAATGATAGGTTAAAGTATAATATAAGCTTACTTTCATAGATAATGGAAAAAATAGGCTATGAAACAAATTTTACATGTAAAATTAGCCATTCTGAGCATTTATCTAAGTTTTTATCTCTTCTATTTATAACATCTGGCTTTTGGAAACCCACAATTTTATCCTCCTTTTTGGCAATTTCTGCTTAAATAGTTAAAATTATGGGCTGACAGGAACGAGCATAAGCACAAGATGAAGGTTTTTATTATGTAAGGGAGAAAAGGATGGACGGCGGCAGTAGTTGCTTTCTAATTATTTTTCAAAGCTTTTCACGGTAGCAGCACTGGCACAAATATAGCATTCCAATCTTCTCTCTTTTTTTTCCTGTTACCCAGCCAAGTTTGAATTCTCTCTTTAAATTAATCCAAGTGATATTATTTCTGTATCATCTAGATTTTTCCAATTAAAATGAAATTCTTTAGGGTTTTTATTCTGATCAAAATTATTAACCTTCACTTTCCCCCCGAAGGTTGTCCTGGGTTGTTGCACCTCTTGCACTTGGATGAGTATTAACCCATTTTGAATTCTTTTCTAGGTAGCAAAGGTAGTAGCTTTAAAAATACGAAGTGCAATTGCTTTCCTCTATACAACAGTTTGTGCAGTTATCGTCTCTATACAATTAATCTCACAGGTATAGGCAACAAACTGTACTTGGATAGAGTAATTATCAACCTGTCGCCTGCATCACACTAGTTTGGAGGGCGCGTGTTAAAACTCAGACCGCTGGGCTCTATCCCCAGAATTTCTGATTCAGTAGCTCTGGGGTGGGGCTGGATAATGTGTATTTCTAGTAAGTTCCCAGGTGACGCTGATGCTGCTGGTCCCAAGATCATACTTTGAGAACCACTGATCTAATATGCGCCCTATACTCAGGAAAAGGGGAGGAGAGGGTTGGCTATTAGTAAAAAGTATCCTCATATTTAAAGAAGAGAGGGGCCTGAAGAGTGAGAGGCTACCGTTTGTCTCTGACTCTCAACAGTCTCTTCTTCTTTAGTGGTAGGTTTGAGCCGGCTTGTTGGAAAGGCCCGTCTTGATCAGCAAGCTCCGAGTCATCCATTTATGGATAGAAAACCTAAAGTGAGACAGCTGTTGAAGGGTAGAAAGAGCCCTAGACTAGAGGTTGAACACATGAAATCACCTAGTTTACAGGTCAAAATTGGCCAAAAATTTTCCTATCGTTCAACCTAATGGAACACTTGGACTGGAGTCACAGTTCTACCACCTACTAATGTTGTGACCTTGGAAAAATATCTGTTCATCTCTCTGAACTTTAAACATTAGCTTTAAATAATCAAACCTGCTGCACAAGGCTGTAAAGATCACTAAGTATGTTTGTAAATTAGAAGGTGTTAGAAAGTGTTATATAGATGTTGTCATTGCTGTTGACTTGACCAAAATCACACAATACTGTACTCTTTCTATCATTTCACATTCCTTAATTTTTCTGATAGATTAGGACCACATTGCCATAGTTAGGATACGATATCTGTGTTTTCCCAACTAGGTGGTGAACAACTTGAGGATTTCTTGTTTACTTTGTAACCATAACCTCATACCAAGAACATATCTTAGATAACACAGAAATTCAATACATAGCCACTGGACTGAATTAGCAGAATCAGAGCATATACTCAGACATGCCATTAGGCACAGCTGCAAGACTGGGAGGGGCTAGGAGGGAAGAGGCTAGCCCCACAAGTTTTTCAAGATGGGCTGAAACCATTTGGTTGTCTAAACGACTGATGTCTGATCGTAAAAGGTCCCATTCTTTTCCAACTGAACTGAGTAGTCTATTTCTTTGTTTCTCAAGTCAGACACAAACACTGTCCTAAACATATCTTCCCTTAAAAAAAAAAAATACCAGCGTGGGTCACTTTGAAAGAGGTTAAGTAAGTGTTTGTAATGGTATTGATGGGAACTAACTGACACTACTTTCAAGTAAAATAAAAGCCCTGTAGATCTTAAATTATGACTCATCAAGGAGGAAACAGGTTGCACTTAATTTCCTGCACACCAGTCCACTGAATGCTAAATGATCAAGGAAACCACTGCAAGACTTCTTTGCATTTTCCTTCAGGTAGTTTCTGCTCATATAAGCCGATTGTGAGGGCAACTTGTTTTTTACTGTATAAACTGAAGTGGTGGTCTGCTACTGACTTAGTGATCTGACTAAGTGACAATCACACACAGAAAAGCAGGTTTGGTGGGGGAAAGAAGTGGTGGCTGAAATGAAAACTGTAGTTTCTTCTCTCTGATCAAATTTACCAGATCATTACCCAAAGCTCTACTTTACTTTCTGCAGTGTGAATACAGTCTAAATGATAAGAAAAAGCCTACATTGCCATAGGTAAACATGGAATCTGCTGAGGTGGAGATGTGAAAGGAAAAATTAAGAGTTTCGTCTAGTGGGGCCTGGCCTGGATATCCTGTCTCCGGTGAGAATTAGGTGCCACATGTGGAATGACAGGTGTTCTATTATCTGTGCTAGTCAGCAATTCTACTCGGACAGTTTGGTGCCTGGACGAAAACTTCTGGCTTTGTTTTGCTGTGGGGTGCAGATGCCATGGTCTGGGATCCCGGAGTCCTAGTGTCAGATCGCAACAGGATGGTATCTGGAGAGTCCTCTCACCCCTGTGACTGTAGCTGTCACGAGTGTCCTCTGGTTTAGGCAAAGGTTGTATAAATAACAGAAATAGAGAGTGGGGCCAGAGGTGGAGTGAATTCAGGAAGAGGTATAGACACAAACCAGCACCATTCAAGAGGAGTGTGAGGCCCTGCTCTAGCCACACAGTTCCATTAACTGAATTTGCATCCCCCCAGTCACAGAAATGACATTTCCACAGCCTTGACATTTTAAATATCATGAGAATTAAATGCAAGCCAAAAAATCCCCTCAGCTTGTGAAGATCATTTCATGACACATAGTACATTCAGACAAAGGGAAAACTTTCTCAGTACTGATAAGAAAACCACCAAAGTAGTCATCACTTGAAGAATTACAGCTAGACTGCATTGTATTTGAAACAAATGCACCTGGGTTATAAATAAGGTCAAAGCCTGGACCACACTGGTATATGAAGCAAAAAGCCCTCACATCTTCCCTTCATTTAAATTCTTGCACTGGAATAAACAACTCTGCTTTCTAGGTCTAAACTCCATCTGATCAGAAATGTACCAAGAAAATGTCAACAGGACAACTCTGGTCAATTTTGTTTATGGAACAAAATGTATTTATAAAATAGCTTTATTTACTACCCCATATTCCATTCCTAAATGATTATAGATGGTGATGAAGACTACATGTTTCCTGTTCCAAGGCATTAATCCATAGTCTATCATTATGACCAGGTGAATTTTAAAGGGAATTTCTGTTAATATTCAAGTTTCATATATAAACCAGGGCCCTTCTCAAAAATGCCTGCAAAATAACAGATGCTATAGCTGTAAAAACATTGCCTGTCTTCGTGACATGCCTGTATAAAGGAATTTTCATTGAATCACACTTCCAAATGTGAAATGGTCACATACATTGGTCATCCAGACTACAAGAAAAGGTATTTTCACTATGCTAACTTATTTTAAGTAAAAATATGTCCTAACCTGACCAAGTTCTTCATTAAGGTCCGATGTGTTAACCAGGGCTCCTTCATTAATTTCTTCATCATAAAAGTCCTTATCCCATGAAATGAAGAAGGAACCCAAGAATTTCTGCATTTCCACTGTGACATACATGGAGACAGGAATGATGAAGTTGAAGAGAACCATAAATGACAGGAAGTCGGTGAACATTTTCAAAACCTAAAACAAAAGAAATAGTTCATGCTAATTAAATGCACAGCTCCATCAAGCAAGTGTAATATAAAGACTTTCTGTGTTTTTATTTCAATGTTGTAGGCACTGCTCTTGGTATAAAAAATTAAACATCCCAACAACACTATCTTATCGGTTAAAATTATCACAGTATGTGAAAACATCATTTAAAATATCCTGAATTTTGTCACTATTCTTCAGTGAATGTACCTTTTGACTTAACATTTTTTCATTTCCTTAAGCTCTCTGCTCCTCTCCCCCAAGATATGAATGTAGGATCAAAGGTTTTATGAAGGCATCCACTATCCTCCTATTAAGATATACCACAAGGTGATGTTATATTGACACGTCAGAGCTTCTTGCCCAATTGCTTAAAACTCTTAACTGAAAGAGTTAAAAACAAGAATAGATACCTAGGGTTAAAAACCAAAACACTCTAAAACCTCTTAAATAGTTAATGGCTTAGGGTTACCATACAACCAGGAGAAAATCAAAATACAAAGGGTATCAGCATCTGAACAGCACTTCAGTAAGGGTGGCTTGATCACACAATGTGCTAGAGTTAAATTTTTCAGCATAAAACAAATTACCTTCAAACTCTCCCGCTCTTTCTGGGTCTTTTGGTTATACCAAGGTTCATCGTTATATGGGGTACTTTGCCAAACATACTTTAGAGTAGTGCATACTGCAGCTTTGGTCAGTAAGATAAATAAATAAACAATCAAGAAGGCATTAATAGATCTGAAAAAGAAGATACATGGGTTTAAAAACCACCTAATTACTTAAGATATCTTATCAACCAGGTATAAACAAAACTGTTCAGTTTTCTAAAGCTTCTCCTGTGTACAATATGTAACCATCACAAGTCTGTATGGATGAACCTCAGTTACCACTGCTGAAGCCCTACTGTCGACTAGTAAAAAGGAAAAGCCAGCCTTGACCAGCTTTGTTGGTCACCAGTGCTTCCCAGAGTGCAATGGCTGACTAGCTTAACACATCTTTAATGAGGATCCTCTAAAGTGACAGGACACACACACACACACACACACACACCCCATTACCTACTCAACTTTTACAGAATTAGATTGTTTCCATTTCCCTGAGTATTAAAGGTTTGGAATAGAGGATAGAGGAGCAAAGGTGAATTCTTCACGCTTAGTGTGGATTCCTTTACTCTGAGAGTAAGAGTTACAGAGAGGGTGCCACTGAGATACTGGCTATCCATGCCAACAACAGAGTGAGGTCCATGCCAGTGGCCACTGGCTTGAAGGTGTGTCAGGTCCCACTTCAATATCTGCCAGGAGACTACTATCTGTGTTGCAGAACCTCCTTACATATAGCAACTAGAGGATCCCAAACCATTGTCCAGTAGCAAAAGAGAAGAAATGTATGTTTCAACTAAACTGCCCTTGAATAGCTAAGTGAGCTTAGGTAAATCACTTATCATCTCTAAGACTTTCTTTGTCTGTAAAGTGGACAAGCTAACAGGAATTACTTCACAGTTGCTCGGAGGATTAAACCAAATCAGACATACAAATCACTGACCACAGTTTCTAGAAGATAAACAGTGCTCAAAATGGCAGCACTATTACAATTGATGATTTTTTTTTCTCATGGTTATTATTTAGAATTACTGAGAAGTAACGATTTCCGTTCAATAACAACTAAATAAATTGTGGTGCACACTAACTTTTCAACAGCAGAACGTTTCTGAGATTTCCCTTGGTAATTCAATGCCATTTTGGTTTCCATTCCAGTGTAAACAGCAACTCCTAAAGAATAACAGAAATGAGTGAGAACCAGGGGTTGTAAATGAGATTGACAACCAACTCCCCACCCAGTTGGATCTACTAAATTTTTTTCATCTATAAAAGTAGGAATTCTAAACCCTCTTCTATTCACCAGTTGCTACACCATTTATAGTATAATTTTCATTCTATATAGTTTATCATATTTCAAGTTAGTTTAACATCTTATAAATTCCCAACACCTAAAAATAGGTTTAGATTAAATGGTAATTAAATGCCATGTTCAATTTTTAACTGCCCTATTTATGCACAGGCTTTAAAAAGCATTATCTGTAATAAGAATATCTTAAAAATTGTTCACCATATATCTTCTTGGTATTTTTTAGTGTAGCTCCTTTCAACAAGAGATTTTCAGGTCCCAAAGACCTAAACAAAAAATGACACAGCTTATCCAAACAGCCCAATAAACAGCATCATCAACTTTGGGGACATACTTTGCCCTAACACACATCTATCTCCAAAAGGTACAGAATGCATCTGTCTCCTTATATTATATGCTTACTACCCAGGACGAGCCGAAAGACCCCTCCCTCTGAAGTTACTTGAAGGTACAGCACAGATGGGGGCACACACAGTACAGGCAGGAGTCGCCAGCAACAAACAGAGGTAAAGAGACACAGAAAGAAAAGGACTGAGTCACAGACAGCAAGAAATGGAAAGAAAAGGTGACAGTAAAAGAACTGTCAAGGCAGGAAAGACACATTGACTTATTTATAGAGCATAAACCCGCCTTTTGGGAGATCACTGGACACCCGGTGTGTCTTTAACTTTCTTTTGAGTATTGGCTATAAAGGCCAAGTGGAAAAGCTGGGATAACTAACCAGGTGATAGAAGAGGGAGGAAAACATCCCTTTATATATGAACTGTTTCATTATAAATGATTAAGCCTTTTATTTTACTTAAGTCCAAGTCATTTTCCCAGCATTTTATCTACTGTCTAGTCCCTAAATTACTCTCCCTTAAAACATTGTTCTCCAGGTATACTTCCAATACTGTCAGGCACTGCACAACCAAAGACAATAAATACAGTGCTTGGTACAGATAGTCCCAAACCCTCAGCATCACTTCCAACACCACCCCCTCCCAGGACACACACACTCAAGAGCCTCTGCCACCACAGCCCCACCAACCACAAGGCTGGTTCCGTAAGTCCCATCAGAGGGATCCTGAGTGGTTTTACTCCAGGTTTATTCACCTTTACCCTTTTCTAGAAAGGAAAATATTTAGCTATTTTAATGGGCTTAAACAGGAAACACTCCTACCCCCAAAAAGGACAGATTAAAGGAATAACAAACTAACCTTGCAACGGCCTCAAGACTATTATTACGGATATTGATTCGGCCAGCAAACCTGCAAAAAGAACATAGTAGCACACATGTCTTCCATATCCAGATAAAATCTATATACCCCAAAGATGGGAATGAATCAAAATACAAATAATACAGTAAGAGATGAGACTGAATGAACTACAAAAGCCTATTTTATTTCTGAGAAAAAAAAAAGTTGTGTTGAACCAATAAGGTATGTAACATTTTCATCTAATTTAAAAAATATTATGGATTATAAGAATGGAAACGAAAATTCTAAATTGATTTTCAAGATCTACTCTGCATTGTGCATGCACACAACTCCCCCCATCGTTTATACTTTATATAGATAATGGGCTTCTATTTTACATTCATGTGAAGAAAGGTTTCTGGTGCTAAAATCTAATTTTCAAAACCATTAGTTCAGGAGCTCATTCACTTGAGCATGCAACAGAATCACTGGAGGGCTTATTAAACCACTGATTTCTGCACCCCATTCCCAAGCTTAGTAAGAATTTGCATTTCCAACAAGTTCCCAGGTGCTGCTGGTGCTGCTGGCCTGGGATCACCCTTTGAGAACCAGCACATTAGTCTCAGGGAACACTTGATCACCATCTTGGAAAGTCCCCAACTGTGTCTTGCAGCTCAATACTGAACTTGGTCTGATCACTTAATATGACTATGCACATAGTAATTTGCAGTTTCAAAAAATGGGATAAAGAGGCCTTAACCCTCCTTAACAAGAATGTCATGAGTAGTTTATAATTTATGTTATAATTCCTTTCAGAAAAATTGAATAATTATTACTATATACACAAAATATGAAGGTCTGCTCATTCATTCACCTTGTATTAACTGCACCAGTACTGTGCTAGGTGCTGGAGATATACTGATAACCAAGAAAAATGTGTTCCTTGCTCCAAAACAGACAAGAAAAAAGGCAATTACAATGTGTAACTGATGCCCACTAGGGTGGGGAGAAGTGTAAGGTATTCTGAAGTCACATAGCCAGGGTATTCAAACTAGTCTAGAGAAATTAAGAATAACCTTCTCTGCACTAAACATCTCCTTCACACATAAGGTAACTGAAAAATCTAGGAGTTACCCCACAAATACGCAAGGATGTATATTATTCTCTAACTCAGGCAAAATCAGTCACTCCCTCTTCTGTGATTCCATGAGCCTTTTACTCACCTTTATTATCTCACTGTACTGTAAAGGCCTAGCTTTACAGTTTTATCCCTTTTGCAAACTGTGAGCTCTTGAATGGCAGGGAACAGCTGTTTTGCTTTGTGATCCTAAGTTCCTACTATCAAGGTGGATACAGAAGGGAAAAAGGAAAGAAGGAATGATGGAAAGGAGGGAGGGTATCATCCTTATAGCAGGATGAATACTTTGTTTTTCCACTACTGGGCGTTGTTGTAAGCCACATCCAACCATTTGGTCCCCCATATGACCCACAGCATTCATTAACAAGATGGCTGGCATGGGTAATGGATGCCATCTGTAATGGTGGCCTAGAACAAAATTAATTGGCTCACTTGGGGATAAAACCTGTTATTTAACCCTCCTTAACACCATGCCCTAATTAACCAAACTAACCAGTCTTAAAAACCAAATGCCAAATTTTTGACAACCCACTATGACTGTGAATCAGCAAATCGATTCCAGGAAGCTTAAATATAGCAAAATAGAGGGAATCATACCATTTCACTGCTCCCTCAACTTAACTGTTTACTATGGACAAGAAACAGCCTATTTGTAATACTCAGTTTATTATGATCATGAAAAAAAAGGATAGAGTGCCTACTAATGGGATGGCCCCCTATTGTTTTCTCTCTTTAATGTTGGATGCACATAAAGTGGTTTATTTTTATTTTAATTAATGCTGGTTAATGCATGAGTCTGATATATCAGCTTTCTAGGGAAACAGAATCTTAAAATTTGATGGATGACCCTGTTTACAAATAACAATAATAAAAGAAAAACCACAAGTAAGATGCCTGGGCTCACAATGATTTATCTTAGGCTGGTAGTGAACGAGGCTGATTTGATTCATTTCCCTGCCAGAAGGAAGAAACAGCTCATAAAAACACAAATGAAAGGAGGCTGGTAAGTGGTGGGTGTTTCTTTGCAGTACTAGTGGCAAAGAGAAGCAAAGCCATCAGACGGCAGTAAAATGCAGGTAATTCTTACTTGTAGAGGTCAGGCTGAGGCTGTTCACATTCAATTGCTGCTCTGAGGGTATCAATGGATTCGGCTGTACACAGTTCAATGGTGTCACGTACCGCATAATGTGTCTAGATGAAAGCAGAAGAAAAAGCAAAAACAGCCAAAAAAAAAGTGTAATCATACACCCACCTGATTTCAGGAACACAGTATATTTCTAGTAAAAGGTTTTGGCAGAATAATATAAATATTGATGTATATTTCCCACTAAATAAATTTTACAGTATTATTCTTAAAATATATTGCAAATAATTAGAAAGATAACCCTGCTGCAAAGGGATTTTAAAGATAATGAGAAAACTAAAAGCTTTTCTTGATGCTGACAGCAGAGAAGTCCATTTGTAGCATGCATATAATTAACTGAAAACCCCATGAAAAATTTAATTCATCTATGTTTTCCTCTTATTTATAGAAGTGTGACCTATTATTTTGCTCACCATAGTGTATGGCGATGTTAACATACATGTAAGAATTGAACACAACCCTTTTGGTCATAAGAATGATAATGTTTTGCCAGCAGAAAGAAAAATATAGTTCCCATCACACAAATAGCATAATTAATGATCTTGAAAATGCTCCAAGTGGCTACAATTCATATGAGGAGCAGGGAGATGATGTGTCTTGCTTTAGTCAGACAGAATATTCTAATGCATACCATGTACTTCATTGACCCAGAACTCAAGGCAACTCCAATGAACCCATTTATAAATCAACAAGGAAAGGCTAATGCAGACTCAAAGACTGCACCACTTACGCAGACGGGAAAGCTGTTGCACAGTCTTTGGAGAATATTATGGATCTGGCTGAGCTATATTTAAAACTGTCTCCTGACTTTGAAAACCTATGTACTTTTAGGTGATTTGATCCGATCAACTTAATTGAAAAAAGAAGCCACCTGAAAGTTTTCTTCTTCTAAACAACTTTTTCCCCTATCAGGGAATCTTCAGGTCGATTTCTTGAGTTTTATCTTGACATTCCGTCAAATGTAACTTTGTTTTTGAACAGTTTAAATGGAACTAGTTCATCACTATGCACGTGAAGTACAAAATTAGTTATCTAATAGGCATTTAAGTTCCTTTTCCACATACTGAGTCCTGGTCCTCAACTCCAGATGGAATAAACCGGCAGAGGAAAGCCCCCAAGGATACACACAGAGGTGAGTACATGCGTACCTTTCCTTAGAGGCAGCGTATAGAGGCTACATCTTCAGCCCTGTGGAACTCTGGAAGATAGCCAAGAACTGACTGTGCCCTGAGGTACCAGGGAAGTAAGGTAGCCTCTGGTTGAACAAATTTACTCTAACGTTTATAATTCTTCCTACTTGCAATAAAGAAAATATTTACCAAACTAAACCCTAAGGTATTTTTAAAAAGTAATCAAACTACTCCAGGTTAGACTTTCTATATGCCAGGAATAAACATTTTTTTAAAGAAGATACTCCTCACTTTAAAAATAAAAATAGATCAAACTGTAAGGTTAGAGTACCTGAGGGTGAAGTTATTTTTATAGCTATATAGTTTCAGCCTATGACTACTCTCTTTTTTAAAAGCCTAAATAAAATACTGAATGGGTTAATGTCAATATTAAATGCAAGCAGTGCCATAAAAAATGTGGTGGCTTTTATTTGGGGTGTGGATTTCCTCACTCAACACCACCCTTTCCCCCAAAGTTGAGTATCTGCTTAGAAGTTCAAAGACAATTATATAAAAGCTGTCTTCAAATACAAAACATACACAAGTAGAAAAAAATAAGATAAAAGATTAGGGGCAGTGGGAAGGAGTATGATTAACCATCCTGAGCCCGTCTCCATTACCTTGCAATTGGATTCCCCATCAAGACTGGCTGTAGTAACATAACAGGTTCCATCAATTGTGCAGGATGATAGAAGAATAAGATCACAGGGGAAGGTTTCATCTGCCTGTACTTCTACTACATCCCCGACCTAGTATAGAGAGAAAAAGAAATATAAACATTTCTAATTCCAAACAAAGCATTTATTGTATCTCAAAGTCAAAACAGTAGCAAGAGACCTCTTCCTCTCTGGGGCTCAGAATCCTATACCACACGAAAGGTGATAAAACAATATTACTCAACATTCTGAATCGCCCTTAAGGTCACAAGGACTCATGTTTTCAGATGACCTTAGTTGAACTTTAATCTCTAATAAATGATTTCAGCACCCAGGGACTCTTTTGCTCTCTCATTTTTCTGGAATTGGCATTTGATAAGAGAGTGATCATTATCACATCATCAATGAATCAAGGAAATCTACACATCTTAACTTGAACATTTCATGAACACTGGGCAGCCACACTCCCACATTGTATCAGGGATAAATATTTCAAAATGCTTTGCCTTCCATGTGATAATAGCTGTTATTGCTGGGTGACAGTTCTTTCTTCAGTGCTCAGAAAATCTCAATTGAAGAGGTGTTTATTTTTCCTGTAACATTTGAAAAAACCCTTTTTTCCAAATAGGTCACTTCCCAACAATTCATCTGCTGTCAGCAAGTACCCAAAGCTCAAGTAGAGGAAAAACATGAGAGAAGAAATCATGAACAATTTCTAGTGCAGATAATTTAATAATGTAGGAAATAAATCATACTGATTAAAACATAGATCTTCACAACTAGACTTTATGTCCCAGCTTTGCCACTTAACTACATGACCTTCAGTGACTGCAACTACCCCATAGGATTGGTTTGAGTACGAAATGAGGATACAGGTAAAGTGTTTCACAAAGTGCCTGGCACATCTTCACCATCTAATAGTTGATAATTATAATTATTACCAATACTCTGCAACTACTTTACTTTCAACTTATGAATAGTCGTAACAATTTTTTTGAAAGAAGGAAAGGAATAATTCAGTCCAACGCATCCCAACATTCTTCACACCGTGGCACACAGAGAAAATAATAATTAACACTTTTGTACAGCACCCCAGATAAAGGGAGGAAGCTGCTGGTGGCAGAAAACAACCCACTTTAGAAGGGAATCAACATCTGGCCCACCAACTTGGACATACTGATTGTGAAATGCTGAACTAATATATATATATACCTGCCTTCTCTTTGCTACATAATTTGGCAGAAGATCAGGATTTCAAGATCAATTTCAGGAACAATTTTATTTTCTCTGCCAATCTTAATCAGTAGTCAAGAGAAACAGCATCAATAATGGAACTAATCTGTAAATAATATTTTGTTGGCTGTTTCCTTCCTCACTTACATAAACACTTATGTTGCTTACATAAAACCGAAACCTATGCTTAAATACACAGAAGAAAAATAAACAAAATCTTTTTTTTTAATTGAAGTACAGACAGTTATAATGTGTTAATTTCTGGTGTACAGCACAATGTCCCAGTCGTGCATATACATGCATATAATCCTTTTCATATTCTTTTTCATTAAAGGTTATTACAAGATATTGAATATAGTCCCCTGTGATATATAGAAAAAACTTTTTTTCTTTAATATATTTTTATATATAGTGGCTAACATTTGCAAATCTCAAACTCCCAAATTTATCCCTTCCCATCCCCCTTCCCCCAGTAACCATGAGATTGCTTACTATGTCTGCATGTCTGTTTCTGACAAACAAAATCACAAAGCATCTTAGAAGAAGGAAATGCTCATTAATGGATGGAAGATGATTCTCAGCACTGATAAATAAAAACCACATACAGAATTTCTTCTATAACCTTTACAATTCGTTCAGGAATGGACTACAAAGGTCTCTGCATCTGGAGTGCAAGCTAAGGCTGGTAAGATGGACAGGGGTCAGACCACAAAAAGCCTGACAGGTGAGGCTCAGGAGTCCAGGCTTCATCCTGAAGACAAGGGGAATGGGGAAAGGGCTTTTAAAGAAAAGGAGCAACATGGTCCAGTTAGACAATCAACTTCAGAGCTCTGTTTCCACTTAGCATGTTCGAAGCCACAAGAGACATGACTATTCCTCATCATAAATATTAGAAAAAGCCAGGTAATCAAGAGAATCATATTTTGTTTGAGTTTAGCAGAGAGCTATGGTTTCAGGGCAACCAACTAAACTGAATTTCAAACGGTGAAAAGTCCCTCTGAGGAGAGACAGGAGACATAAACTGTTTCACAACTGACAAAGCACAGGAGGAAGAGATGGCTGCTGTAAAAGTGCGTAAGAAGAAAAGAACTAGATTTTTAATCAATCGTAAAAGGCTTGGTAGGAGCTAACGTGACAGTTTAAATCCCTGGCAGCCTGGGAGAAAAGAGGAGACCATAACCACCGCCAGCTCTTTCTCTGTCGGCATCCAGTGGGTGCTCATGAGAAACCGTGAGGACAGGAGACCTACAGAGCCTTCCTCGCTGGTGCAGGCAGGCAGGTCGTGACTGACTGCTGTGGAGAACAGACACAAAATATGCCAGAGCTGTGGACACTTGCCTCATATGAGGCCAGAGCCATCTGTGTCTATGAAAAAGGCAAGAAACGCGCCCCACCCCCCAATCCAGCCCAGTCTCAGGGAAACATGACTACTGCTAGAGGAGAGATGGAAGCAAAGCCACGTGCTGCTGGGGATGGGACAGGAAGCCCACTCATACTGGACCAGTACTGATAAAAGGCAGAGTTCAGCTGCCACGAGGCTGCAGTGGAGGCGGGGGAGAGTATTGAGAAATTTCCACCCTAAGGCAAAGGTGCATAAAACCTGCCTAATACTGAGACAGAGCAGGAGAACCAAGAAGCTACTCTGTTCCCACCAGGAGCCTTGCAGTGAATAACAAGAAAGAGCAATCTGTCACTGGGAGAGGAGAAAGTGCAGAGAGAGGCATTCACTATGTCTTAGGGATGTAGGACCTGCTGAAAGCAGAGAGTGGATCAGAACACGGACAAAAACCCTCTGACATCCAGGATCCCATGTAAAGTGATGGCCATCTGGCACTCTAGGAATTTATAAAGTCCAATGGTGGGCTGAAAGTATCAACAGCTACTACAAAAACCAAAGCCAGCCAGCTCCTGACTAGGCTAACTCAACCCCCAACACTAATGGGCTGACAGAAGAGACGTGCCCATTTCAGAACACACTGTTGATCTACATCAGTCTCTAGCATTCTTTACATACACTGTCCAAAATTCCATTAAAAAAAAAAAAAGAGATACAGAAAACCAAGACAAAAGTCACCTATCATCAAAAGACAAAAGAGTCAACATGACCAGCATTACAAATATTCAGATTTTGGAATTATGAAACAGGAATATAAAAATAGCTATAATTAAGATATTAAAGTATTTACCAGAAAAGACAAATAACATGCATATGCAGATGATGAATTTGGGCAGAGAGACAGAAACTACCCCCCCCAAAAAGCAAATGGAAAAGTCAGAAATGAAAAACAAGATATTAGAGAGAAAGATTTTCTTTAATGGCCTCATCAGCAGACTGGATACAACAAAGGAGAAAATCAGTAAACCTGAAGAATTCCAATGTTTCTAATGCCAAAATCCATACTGTCTCCCTCACAAATAACTGTGTGTTTCCATTGGAATTCTTCAAGGCCTTTTTCACTTCCTTAGGTTCTATATGATTCCAGCTAAATTTCTGTTTCCACCTAAAACATCTCTGAGCTCCAGGTTTGACAATTCCATCTAGATGTCTAACAGGTATCTCAAAATTAACATGGTCCAACTGAATTCCTCATTTCCTTTCACTCCCACCTCTCTTCCTAACCTGTTCTTCACCCAGTCTTCACCATCTGATTTAACAGCACCAGCATTTTGTTGAACAGCACTATTTAATAATGTATCTAGCTGCTCAGGCCAAAACCAAGGAGGCTATCTTTATTCCTTTTTGCTCTGTTTCTCACTCCCTTCATCAAATACATCAACAAGTCCATCCTCTACCTCCAAAAAGTATCCTGGATCTCCCGGCTCCGGTGCAGACATGGCCAAGTCGAAGAACCACACCACACACAACCAGCCCCGAAAATGGCACAGAAACGGCATCAAAAAACCCCGATCACAACAATACAAATCTCTTAAGGGGGTGGACCCCAAGCTCCTGAGGAACATGCACTTTGCCAAGAAGCACAAGAAGGGCCTGAAGCAGATGCAGGCCAACAACGCCAAGGCCATGAGCGCACATGCTGAGGCTTTCAGGGCTCTCGGAAAGCCCAAGGAGGTCAAGCCCAAGGTCCCAAAGGGCAGCAGCCGCAGACTCAGTTGACTTGCCTGCATTGCTCACCCCAAGCTCAGGAAACGTGCTCATGCCTGCATTCTCAAGGGTCTCAGGCTCTGTTGGCCAAAGGCCAAGGCCAAGGCTCAGACCAAGGTCACAGCTGCAGCTCCGGCTCCGGCTCCGGCTCAGGCTCCCAAAGGCGCCCAGGCCCCCACAAAAGCTCCAGAGTAGAGGCTTTCAACTACTGATATGAGGATAGAAGGACTAATGTGACCCCTAGGCTGCTGTCTGCATGGGGCTCATGTCTACCTATGCTGTTTGTGCAAATAAACCTGAGGCAGGATCTGTCAGTTAAAAACAAAACAAAACAAAACAAAGCAAAACAAAAGGTATCCTAAGTATATATATAGAGACAAAGTTGTGGTTACGAGCATGAACTTTGCATCAGACTTGTTTCCATTCAAATCCCAGCTTCCCCATTTACTAGTTGTGATCAAGTTTCTTAACCTCCCTGTGCTTTAGTTTCATCATTTGTAAAGAGATAGCGAAAGTACCTACTTTATAGGACTGTTGTAAAGTAAGGATTAAGTGAGTTAATAGTACGTAAAAGGGAGTGCCTGGCATATTTATGTAACAATAAATGTTAACAACTATTTTTATTGTCATCTCTACACTATCATCATAATATAAGCTCGTATTATCTTTTGCTTATACTATGGCAGTAGCCACCTAACTGGTTTCCCTGATTCCACTCTTGTTCATGCCTCTACTTTGCTAACTTTCCAGAGCTGTC